CTTAATCATTTTTTGGCATAGCCTTTTTTTTAATTTTAATAATTGAATCAGAACCACACTAGACCTGTGGTAGTACATCTGTAATTCAAACTCAAAATCTGGTAGTTCCAGGTATTGAGCTAGTGATTTTTACACTTCTGTATCTACTGGCGAGATCTGACGATTGTGGATATTGAAATAAAGAGTAATATCATATTACAAATTATATGTTTTGGTAAGGTGGATAACTTTTTATGGTGCTTCATTTTGTTTTTTTAAAACAGCATTATTTAGCATTAGAAAAATGTGGGTAAATAAAATTGTCAGGCAAGTTAGAGCAGTTTTTTAATGACAACTTCAGGCAGTAAATCATTGATTGTCAAGAATTTATTAACTTATAAATGTATAAATTTAAGACACTCGGCAACCCACTACTGAAACAGTTGATATTTCTATTAGGTGTTGAGGTAAGAATTTAACACAGAAAATGGAAATATACAATTATTGTTTTCCTAGTGTTTAATGTGCCAGATTATGAACATAAGGGTCCATGGTTGGCATCTCACTGTAACAAATTTGCACTTTGAGACTGTGAATGCATTACAAGAGTGATGGTCAAATTCCACAATTCAATTAGAGTAGCCCAAAAACTGGTGATTGGTGGTACTTACTAAATGTCTTCCCTCTAGTCTATCAGCTCAAAATTGGGAATGGATAATGCAGATAACTCCCATGCAGTTTTCCATGAATATCTAAAAACCAATTCTTTATATGAGGTTTCCTTTTTGCATGGTGCATAAAGATTTTTACATTTTTTAGTGTTTACATCATATTTTCAAATTTTATGCTCATATACTAATCTTCCCACACCTAACCCCTTACAGAAAGGACATATTTATTTAATTCACCATGTTTATTAAAGCACGTGGATACAGTGGCAGGAAAGGACATTAATGTTCTACATCTAACATTAAAAAACACAGCCCAGTTAACTGACTTCATGGATCATCTTATAAGCAAACATACTCCAATTAAAATGCACTGCACAACAGAAGATACTATATCTTTTTTTGCTGCTTACAAACAGCATGATCATCAATCATGAACAAGAATGTTGTTTACTTGTTCTACTTTATGAAATAAAAACAAGGAAAGTTAACAAAACAAATCTTCCTGTACTTACACAAGCACACAGATGGGATTCTGCACACACAACTTAAACTGTTATAGTTCATAAACAGTACATAAAATACAATTCCCACATTCTTAATAATATATATTATACAAGAACTTCATCACACTTTTTTTCTAGTAATTTGATCTCTACAATCAATGGAAAGCAATACCATGACAAATTAGTTTGGTACCACAGAAAAATCACTTCATGGGCTTTTCAACAACTCTTCTAGCTAAAACAGTATTAAGTCTCAAAATATTCTATCACTCTGATGTAAAAAATAATAAGGAAAGTAAGTGGTGGCATAAAATATTGAGAGATAAACTATGTTGTCAGCAAAAAGAGCTGCTTAAAAAATGTCTGGTAACTACGGTTACATTTTAACGAAGCATCACAAAACTTAAGGCACATGTCACGTTCATTAATACTAATGTGTGCATTTATTTTATAAAAATATCACCTTAAATAAGCAATCAGTTATAAAGAAGACAGTTCAAGTGATTGACTAGCTTATCATATTACAAGCCCTGCTATGAAATAAACATGCAGCACCACTTTAGAAACATGATAGGTCCAAACTTTCTGACCTGGTCTTGTATGTGTGTATGCAAAACTTGATTTATTAATAAAAATGACTTATCCAACTTTTTCTCCCCTAAAAGTTCAACTTAATGTTTTAATTCTTTTTTGTACACCTTATGCTACTATACAATATCCCTCATTTCAAATACTTACGCTTATATTTTGTAAAATTATGACTTGAAAAAAAATCCCAATTACATTACAGTAAACTTAAATACTTCTTCTTCTTCACGTTTAACACAATGGGACAGTTTCACAGAAAAAAAAGAAAAGGTTCTTAAACAGCCTTTCATTGATACAACTGTGCATTTCAAGTTGCAAAGAAAAATAAATATATTTTGTGGAAAAACATATATTCAAAGAGAAGAAAAATACCACTTTTATTACCTGCTTTGTACTCGGATTTCTCTGAATCAATTTCTATCTTACAGCTTTCCTCGTCACAAACATCAACATGTGAAACTACATCACTTACTAATGTTTCATTAAATGATTCTTCCTTTATATTCATAGTTAGCTGTAAAAAACAACAACAATGTTTATCTATATGATCCTTTAACATTGTGATTAAGCTTTACTGAATTAGCATGCTCATATTTTACCTCAACACATTATATTCTGTCAAGTACTCCAAGTTATAACACAAGTACCTACAAGAACATGGATTCAGTTTTAAGGAGGTATCACTGACAGGTGTATGGTTTGGGTTGTTTTGGAATTTTACACAAAGCTACTCAAGGGCTATCTGTTCTAACTGTTCCTTATTTTGAACTGACAGACCAGAAAGATAGCAGCTAGTTAACAACACCCACTTCAACCCTTGAACTTCTCTTTCCTGACCGAATAGTGGGATTTAACCATCACTCTTTCTTGAAGAGCATTATGTGGTGTGATCTAATTGTCGAATTCTTTAGTATCTTTCATACAATTATCAAGATACAACCCTATTTAAAAGGATGTAATTCAAAAATGTTTCTTGATGACTGAAGTTACCAACAAAGATTACAGAACAAATTACTAATATTAAATCTTTGCTCTTCACTCCTTTCTTGCAACTAAAAAAGAAAATCAGTTATGTTCCGAACTTCTTCATATCCTTCAGGATTTTTTTTTTAATTTGACTAGCCAAAATTAACTGACTTTTTTAGTGAAAAAAATAAGAAAATTTAGGTAAAAAATTATAAAGTTGTGCTGAACATAATTTTATCACATTCCTTCTAATGGATAATACATTTTTAAATAAAATAATGCAGAGTTAAACAACTTGATTATTCACAAGATTTCCAGCCAAAAAAAAGTAATGCAAGATTCCACATCAGCATATAAAGAAATAAATTTTAAATTCAGAAAATCTTGTGGTGTATTACAGTCAAGTGTTCCACACGTGCCATTACTTGTTTCTTGTTGTATGGTAGAATAAGGTTTTAACTAAAATCAAACTGGTGTATTTATGTGTTTGGCTAACAATACGAAGAATTAAATTGTGGTGAATTGCTACAAGTTCTTCAAATACCTATAGAATAATAGGTTTTTTTTGGTGAGTGTAAAACACCCGTTTGATTTTCAATACCT